CAACAACAATTGAGTCTAATAAAACTCATAGCAACCCTATGAAGAGCCAACCTGAACCGTGCCTTGTCCTATGCCATCCTTATAATCTCTGACACACTAGAAACCATTACTGAAGTCACCGTGTCAGTGCATTTCCTTGGGGGTCTTCTCCTCAAAACTTTAAATTTCCATCAGGTTCATTCAGATAAGCACATAAGCTTTAACATAGAACTCTTTTAAAAACCTTCCCATTTCATCTTCACATCTCCACCTTAAACTCCCGTTCATGTGCCATATGACCTTGGCCTCTGGCTTTTATACTGAGTTATTTCATTCAAAAGTCATTCTTTGCTGTCTAGTTAGAACTGACTCATAGCTGAACCTCCAGGGGGTTTCGGAAGCTGTAAATCACCTAGGAGGAGATGACCCATCTTTCTCCTGCAGAGCAGCTGGTAGGTTTGAACCACCAGAGAGATGTAGCCTTTGGGTTAGCACTTCAACTCCCTGTGAGCTCCACGACCAGAATGTAAAATTGTAGTTAGTTCCTGTTGTTATTGTCCTCAGTTATTGTCGTGTATCTTGGAGTTGGAACCGACCCATAGCTGACCCTTCAGCAGTTTTTCCAAGGCAGTAAATTGCATGGGAGATTACCCATCCTTCTCCCACAGAACAGTTGATGGATTTGAACTGATTGTGTTTGGGATTGCAGTGGACCTTCTTAACCACTAGGCCACCCAGTGCCCCCTTACTCTAGAAGCAGCATGTCTTCCCTCAGTTGCAGCAATAAAAGCAAGCATCTAAACTGTGCGTTCCACACTTTTAACTTCTTATTCTTACAAAATCTTATTCTTCAGGGAGCTCTGGTGGCCTAGTGGCAAAAAGCTGCACTGCAATCCCAGAGATACGCGGTTCAAATCCACCAGATGCTTTGCTGGAGAAGGAGGGACAATCTCCTCCTGTACCAGTCAGATCTGATTTGACGGTACACACACACAAAATAATAAAATAAACAAACAACAACAACAAAACACCCCAAAATCTTATTCTTCCATGAGTCTGGAGCCAATGTAACAGACATGACTTTGGACACCAACCAGGGCTCTTGCAGCGGTAGTACTGGGTCCACTAGCCCAAAGCAGTGGCCTCACAGACCTTACAGATAATACCCATGATTATAGAGTTTATTAAGGAAGTTAACAGGTTGCAATTCAGGCAGCAAGCAGGATAGCTTCTCAGATATGCTTGCATGCTCTCTGACTTTCAGCTTTATGTCTTTGGGCTAATGTTACAAAGCTCTTTTAGTCCTGCCAGTGATGGTGTAAGCCTGGGTGAGTGTGCTCCGCTCTGGGTCCAGCAGGCAGCAGGTCTAGTTCAGCTCTGTCTCATGTTGATCTCTGTTTCTTTGCCATCGCTGCTGCTTCTGTTCCTGCCGTTGCTCTCAGGCCATCCTGCACAGTTTTCACTGGCCCAAAAGGACTCACTGCATTATCTTCTTCCTTGTTGCTAGTGGGATATTCTATATAATGCATAATTTAGTTGACGGTACACTTTGGAGATGGACATTGTAGGTAATGGGCTAGTTACTCACAGCAGAATAATGATAGAATAATGGTAGCAAGGTTAAAACCTGGTTCTCTGACCTGAATGCCCTTTCTCTTGGGAAGATGAAATTACATAGGGTGCTCTAGACTCCAAAGCCCTTTTTGTTAGCAGATTATGTGGTGTAACAAACTCACTTGTTTAGGGTTTGGTTTATTACTTTCCAGGCCTCTTCTACTGATCCAAGTTAAACGTCAGCCAGTGAGAAAAAAAGACACTGATCTGGAGGTCTGGCTCTTCTGCCTTCTTACCAAGTGCCTGACCCGTCTCTTTAGCCTCGTTGAGATTCGGTTGCCTTGACGGCACAATCAGAGTCTTAGATCTAGGTGATTCGCATTGTTATTTTCAACAGCAAAGGACATGTCTGAGAAGAATAAGTAGCTTTGTGCCTAAAACTTTTATAACGTTAGCTCAGTCTTTAAGGATATTTGTAGCCAATGGCACAGGACAGGACAGGCTTCATAGGGAACACTATGAGTCATACTTGAGTTGATGTCACCTAATAATAAGAGCCAATTTAAGAATGACTAGATTCTAGTAAAAAGTTTTTAAATAGAACACTTTATTGTATTTATTTGTCCTGATAATCCTAGTCCCTTGACTAATTAGTAGGGGCTCTCCTGGAGCAGTCTGTAGTATGTTGCTCTGCTAATTGAAAAGTTGCTGGAATAGAATTGAGAATACAGAAATCAGGTCATCTACCTGTGGTCAACTGATTTATGACAAGGAGATGAAATCAGTTAAGTGGGGAAACTAAACCCTCTTTAACAAATGGTGTTGGCAAAATTGGAAGACTGTCTGCAGAAACCTCAAGCAAGACTCACACCTCACACCATACACATAAACCAACTCAGAGTGGAGCAAGGGTCTTGGAGTAAAACCGAGGATTATAAACTGCATCAGAGAAAAGCTTGGAAGAACTCTAGTAGTCCTAGTCCACAACATAAACAGTCTTCCAAGCATCCTGAAAAACCAACAACCAGGAGAGAATAAAATAGATGAATGGGACCTTCTAAGACTCAAATCCCTATGTATATCAAAAATTTCTCCAATAGGGTAAAAAGGAAACCCACAGCCTGGGGGGGGAAAATACTTGGTATTGATGTGTCTGATAAGGGACTTATATCTAGAATTTATAGAGTACTCTAGCACTTCAGCAAGATAAGAGTAAACATCCCAATTGCAAAATGGGCATGGGATATGAGAAGACACTTCACCAAAGAAGACATTCAGATGGTGAACAAACACATGAAGGGGAGAAATACAAATCAAAACAACTATGAGATATCATCTCACCCCAGTAATAATGGCAAAATTCAACCGAGCAGCAAATAGCAAATGTTGGTGAGGTTGTGGAGAAAATGGAACCCTTATTCACTGTTGGTGGGAGTGTAAAATGGTTGCAAGCACTCTTCAAGGCAGTATGGCACTTTCTCAAAAAGTTGGAAATAGAAATACTGTTTGACTCAGCAATTGTACTACTGGGAATATACCCTAAAGAAACCAGAACTGCCACCCAGACAGATATATCCACAGCCATTTATTGCTGCATTGTTTACAATAGCAAAGAGATGGAAGCAACCCAAATGCCCATCAACACATGAATGGATAGAGAAGCTATGGTATATTCACACAGTGGAATACTATGAGCATTGAAAAACAAGGAACTTGTAAAATATTATACAAAATGGGTAACCCTGGAGAGCATTATTCTTAGTGAAATATATCAGTCACAAAAGGACAAATACTGCATGATGCCACTGGTATAGAACAGGACTGACATTGGGAGTTGGGGGAAACTAAGAAAAGAGTGGGTATATAACAAACACTGTATTAGAACAGATAAGGAAAGAATTTTTTTAAAGGACTATGTGATTAGACATTATTT